AATGTTGTATTACTGTCTCTGGGGTTTTCTTTCAAGTTGCTCATGCCCTTTCTGCAAGTTTTGATGGTGGCACTTTTGTCTGCACGTGGGTAGACAGTAAGAACGACAGCAAGCCTGCCTCCTGGCCCACAGCTAATGTAAGACAACACAGATAGGAAGACACTCTGATTTCTGAGAGTACCTTAGACACAAGGTACTCTCCACTTACTCTCCAGCATCTTCTGTAGCCTGCAGCCCTCATATTCTCTGGGACCACACATGTCTTAAAAAGCCACGTCAAGCTTACTGAGGGAAAAGGTCATTTTTCCTTCCTTTGTTAAAAATAACAACAAAACCCAGACTTTTAAAGCATTAAAAACACAGGGATTTTAGAGGTGCTGCCCAAGGTGAGCTGACCAAAGCAGAAGCAAGGTCGTTTATGACTTTTGCGTCACTTCCCAATGTAGCAACAGTGTAGCCACCTCTGAGCATTTGATTAAAACTCCATCCAAAACCACTGCTTCCTTTGCTTCAAGGACAGTTTCCCGGACAGGTTGACGCTAGCGTGGCTTTATGTCCAGAATTAGAAAATAAAAGTATTTTATTACAATAGGGTTAAGATTTTAAGCTCTGGCACAGGAAACATTGAGTTCCAATCCAGACTGTTCAGTTGAGAGCTAAGGCACATTATACCATTTTTTGAGTCTGTTTTTTCATCTGTAAAATGGAGGTATAACCTCCACCTCACAGGGTTACTGTGGGGATTAAGGAGATAATGTAGTTTTAAAAATGTAATAGCTAACATTTCCCAAGTGATTCTTACAGGCCAAGTACTATGTAAAGGACATTTAAAAGTATAATGATAAAATGCTTATCATATGCCTGTTATGGCTTGTGTGCAGCCATCTCATACGTGCATTTTTGCATACTGAGACAGGATTCACATACCACAAAATCCACCTGTTAAAAAATGTAATTCAGTAGATTTCAGCATATACAAAGTTGCGCACTAATAGTCACCACTATCTAATACCAATTTCAGAACATTTGTAAGATCCCCAAAAGAAACCCCATATCCATTAGCAGTCACTTCCCATTTATCTTTCCCATCCTCTTCCTCAAGCCCTGTCAACCCTTCATCTACTTTCCGTCTCAATAGATTTGTCTATTTTGGAATTTTCACATCAATGATTTGTGACTAGATTCTTTCAGTTAACAAAATGTTTTTACCATTCATTCATATTGTAGTATATACCTTGACTCCATTTTTTTTTAAGGCTCAATAATATTCCACTGTATGGATATATAACATTTTGTTTATCTATTCATCTGTAGATGGATATTTGGGTTGTTTCCACCTTTTTGCTATTATGAATAACGCTGCTATGAACATTTGTGCACAAGTTTTTGTGCAGATATATGTCTTCAATTCCCTTGGGTATATGCCTAGGTGTGGAAATGCCAGGTCATATGGTAACTCTATGTTTAACTTTTTGATGAACTGCCAAACGGTTTTCCAAAGTTGCTGCACCATTTTATATACTTAATTTCTTTAAAATTTCTATTGATTTTTAGGGTTTTTTTTTTAACATAGGCCTTTTCTAAATTTTTCCTTTCAAAATCGTTGTCATTAACATTTAAAAATCTTGAATGTGTATTATGTTAATTAATAGCACAAAATTTAAAAGTTACAAAAGGGTATATAGCAAAAAAGTTTCTCTCCTACCCTAATCTCAGCCAATTATGTCCTTCCCCAGGAGCAACTGATGTTCTGTTTCTTCTGTAGCCTCCCAGAGACACCCAAAGGGAAAAAACATATATGTGTGTGTATGTGTGTGTGTGTGTGTATGTATACATACAGTCTTTTTGTTATTGTTTTCTATTATTTTCATAGAAATGGAAGCATATTACACACAATTTTTCTTTTTTACATGTATTTCTCTTTAAGATGGTTCTACCTCAGTATCTACAGATACACCTCATTACAAAAGAATAGCTATGTAACATTCCACTGGGCAGATGCCTCACAATTCCTCTGAGTCTCCTATTGATTTGTAGGCTGTCTGCAATATTTGCTGTTACAATGCTGCAAGGAGCAAAGTTTTACATATGCCATTTCACATGTGTGTACAAACCTTAGGATATCTTACTAGAAGCAGCAGCAAAGGCACGTGGATTTGTAATTTTGATAAATATGGACCCGAATATCTTTTGGATTGCAGTTGAGGTCTTTTCTTCCATTGTGTATTCCAACTCATGTTTTGGTATCTGATTTTAAATAATTCCCAAGCCAAGATTTCAGCCAGGAAGGAAGCAAATCATTTACTGAGGAAGACTGAAGATGATAAGGTCATAAATTACTTAGAGCCATTGGCCTAGAATGAAGGGGGGAAAAAGTCTAAGTAAAAGGAGCTTGTGTTTTGTGTTTTACTGAATAGTTTAAACTTATCCAGTATTAAAAAGAATTAATGGTCTGGGCACCATGAAAGTACAAAGCAGTCTTTGCCGGGAACCTACGCACCAGAAGCAGAGGGAGGTGAGTGCAGTGCTCTGGGGAGAGTGGTTTCTGGTTACAGAGACAAGAAGCTAACCACCAGTCCAACTGGGGAGTCCACCACTTGAGGTGAATGAACAATTAAAAGGAACGAATGAAACATAATGTTATATCCTTGTTTTCATTATTATTTCTTAGATTCAAATAACCAGAAGCATATGCTAGAAAGGAATATATAAATACAAAGATTTTTCTACCAAAAAATCACAACACGGACTGCTAAAATAAAACTTACAAGTTAATTTTTTGTGTTTGGAATGAAAAAAACCTTTGTTTTCACTTTGGAAAGGAAATATACGAATGCGGAACTCAAGAAGCGCAGTGGGCATACAGTGTAAAGTTAAGTCAGTCTCGACAGTGGCCTCTCATCCAGTCACTCTTCTCCAGAGGTATTATATTCTCAAGGAAGAATAAAAACAGGCAACGTGTAATGATTAGTGAGGAGCAACTGAAAGACATGTGTCTTCTATTCCAGTTCTATTTTTAAAATAAATTTAAAAGACCAGATCATTTAAAGCAGTGGTCCCCAGTCTTTTTGGCACCAGGGACCAGTTTCATGGAAGATAATTTTTCCACTGACAGGGTGGTGAGGGGTGGGTGGGGATGGGGATGGTTTTAGGATGATGAAGCATACTACATTTATTGTATAGTCAAACCTCTCTACTAATGATAATCTGTATTTGCAGCCACTCCCCAGCGCTAGCATCACTGCCTCAGCTCCACCTCAGATCATCATGCATTAGACTCTCTTAAAGAGCACAACCTAGATCCCTTGAGTGCACAGTTTACAGTAGGGTTCATGCTCCTATGAGAATCTAGTGACGCTGCTGATCTGACAGGATGCAGAGCTTATGTGGCGATGGGAGCCATGGGGAGCAGCTGTAAATACAGACGAAGCTTCTATCGCTGGCCCACCACTCGCCTCCTGCTGTGTGGCCTGGATCCTAACGGACCAGTACCGGTCCTTGGCAGGGGACTTGAGGGCAGCAGATTTAAAGAATCAAAGAGTTCAATGATGCTACAGAAAACATCCAACTTCCATGACAAATATGTTTACCTCATTTACTTGATAATTTAGAAATGTATCTCAAGGTCTTTAGATAATATTTCCATTGATACTTCTCAATTTCTCACTTTCAGGCATTCTCTCTTCACTTCCCACAAGGAGATGAAGATTTAGCATTTTCTCCACCCACCTCCAGCCCCATCACACACATGCACACCCTTCTCATTCCCCCAGTAGAGTTAAACTCTTCTTTTGGTCAGTCAATATTCCATGTTCACATAATTCAAACTATATAAATCCTGTTCACAACTCTGATTATGTTTGCTTTCTCACTTTTACTTACCTTTTATTTCCTGGTGGCTAATAATTATTTTATTTGCTTCCTTGGTTTTCTGTGTACTTACACAATTTCAAAAACAGCTTCTATTCTAGTTCCCCACAATTTGATGTTTAAAGGTATAAAATTTAGTTAAAATCTTGTTTATTGAAATATTATCCCTACTAATGAAAAAGCAAATCGAATATCCTCCAACATGGAACTCAATAAAGACATTACAGTTGTCCTAGATCATCAAATACTTTGTAAATCTCAAAAAGAATAAGGTTGATCAACAAGTACTCATACATGCACCAAACTGAACCTTTAATTTGCTGACATTATGTATACCTACGATTCTAATATCTTATAATAAGCATGTACTCATGGAAAATCAGAACTTCTGAAATAAAATGTTTTCAGAAAATGAGTGCAGAGGAGTGGCTGTAAAGGAAGCACTCGCTTATCCTGAACCGAATACTAAATTTTAGACGGTAAAATGCTTCAATTTCATCCCGGACAGATGCAGGGTGGCCCAGCATCTAATGAGAGGAGCCCAGGGAGGCGCGCCTCGGCCACAGCACACTCTGGGGAGGCCGCTTAACCAATCAGCGCCTTGGTTCCAGGGCTCGAGTCTGCATGAAAATGCCCGCCCTTTCCTTTTCTACAGTGTTGGGATGCAGAAACACAGCGACACCATCGCGGGGGTTATCGACTTGGACAGCGCTCAGCCTTCAGGGCTCCTAAACAGACTTCTCATAACCACACTTCCATGAGGCTAGGCCCACGGACGTGAGGCGGGGCAGGGGCAGGCCGTCCCCAGACTCCCGGACTCTGTCAGGACACACACGCGGACAGCATGGCTAACTTTCTAGGGGTTGTGAACACCCGGGCGAAGGGAATAAAACAACAGGTCTACTCCCTGGAAATTAAACGCATGGGCAGGCCAGAGAGCCTGTGTACACAGCCTCCGCGGGGTCGGAGTCCTCAGGGTCCACGCCGGGCTCCCAGGCCGGGGCCGTTCGCCCCGCTCCTCCCACCCTCCACCCCGGCTCAGCCCCGGGCGGGAACCACGCACCCACACGAGCGGGACGCGCAGGCGATCCCCCTGCAGCCGGTTGAAGGCGGGGAAGGTGCTCCAGGCGAGGACCCCGCCGCGCTCGGGTCCCAGCAGGGCCACAAGCAGCACCTGGTGCTGGAAGCGCACGGTCGGCTGCTCCTCGTAGCTGCTCCGCTTCAGCCAAAAGCCTGAGTCAAGGAGGGCGGTGGGGACGCGGTCAGGACGGCCGGCCCGGGCCGAGCGGGCCGCGGGGAGTTGTGGGGAGCACCGTCCGCGGCAGGCTCACCGTGGCTCCGGAAGGCCACCAGCAGCGGCGGGATGTAGGTGAGCGCGGCGGCCAGCAGCAGGAAGAGCGCGGCTTTGGAGCAGAGCCCCGCGCGGTAGCGGCGCTCGACCGGGTGAGAGAAGAGCTCGTGGAGCGCCATGAGCGTTGCGCGCAGCCACCCCTCCCGCCGGGGGCCCCGCGGCGATTCGAGACGGAAGAGCAAGTTTGGCTTCTGTTGGTTGCCATCGCCGTGGTCTCCACGGCAACCGGGGGCGCAAAGGAACCAATCGTAAGGACGGGGGCTTTCGCGGGGCGGGACTAACGCGGCGGCGCGCGCCGCTGGACAGTCGCCCTCGCTTAATGCGTGCGTTTCCTTAAAGGCTGAGTGGTCGTGTAATAGGATGTTTCCGTGGACTTGAGTCGTAGCCATCGTCTGTGTTAACATTTGTGTAAAATAAGATTTCATAAAAGTCGACTTATAAGTAAAGACCTGCTTCTGTGTCATCTATCAGCCCCCAATTTGGTTTATACTGAAGTCCAACCAGTGCTTTGGTCCTGGGCTAAGACCAAAGCCAGGTTCCTTTGCCTCCAAGTTTTCTGTTGCTTTCACGATGCTCCATGGCAGGACAGCCGTGGAAACACAAAAACAGAAAAATCCCCAGGCTCTTGGAGGGATAGAGGGAAATCACTAAATAGCTCTCTCTGACGTGCTTTGTTACAGTGTATTGGGTACAAGCTAGGCTAGGGGTTTTAGGGGAAGCCGTGGTCGTCCCCAAAGATAACATTGGCTTATCACTTAATTGAAGGCTTTGGCCGAGGCGGGATGATCGCTTGAGCCCAGGAGTTGGAGACCAGCCTGGGACATAGTGAGACCCTATCTCTATAAAAGACAAAAGAAACTAGCTGAGTGTGTGGGCATGTGCCTGTAGTCCCAGCTACTCCGGAGGCTGAGGTAGGAGACTCGCTTGAGCCCAGGATTTGAGGTTGCAGTGAGCTATGATGATGCCACTGCACTCAAGTCCAGGCAACAACAGAGCAATACCCTGTCTCAAAAAAAAAAAAAAAAAAAATTGAAGGCCTTTTCTTCCCCCTAGACCAATATGGTAGAGGATTTTCTTTTTAAAAACTATGTTCTATAGCAAAGTTCTTCATCAAAATGTTCTGAATGATCACAGCACAGTGTTAGAGTGTGAGATTTATGCTCAAATTGGAGTCCAGTAGTTGATGCCCCTACTTTAAAGGCAACCTAGAAGGGCTATTAGATGATGAGAATGGCTGAGATCCTAACAACACAGACAACACAACACAGATAGAGAGAAAGGTCAAGACCTGCCCATGTGAGAAAACTATCCCATGGTTCTTATCACAGTCCAAGACAACAATTAAGTCATTAGCCATAAAATGCTTTTGACATATCATTGGGTACAGTACTAGACATTCTTGCTTTAAAACTTTTCTGGGATGGCAACACAGCTCTTAAATACAGCAATTGTTTGGCTTAAACCTATGGTATGATTCTGACATTATATTGTATCTATGCTTTAAGTAGATGACTCTCATTTACTTAAATAAAATAAGGGCATTCAAGAATAGATGAATCTAGTATTGACTCCTGTGAGTTACTCTCCTTGAGGAAGAGGGTGTTTGCCTCCCAAGCTCCTTCTCTCAACAGAAGCAAACAGACATTGTACCTAAGTCGCTGCTGAAACAGGGTGACTGCTAAGAATTTAGGTGTATGAAGTGCTTCAGACTTCCCTGAGATGCCATGAGCTTTGAAAAAGTATTTAGTGATAATGGATAGTAATATTTACTCTTCAATTCCATGATTTGTAGAAGCTAGTCTTTGTGGTTTTATTTGAATTCCTTGAGAGAATATTATACTTTTTAAAAATGCCAAAGAATTATGTACATCATCTTATTTTCATAGATTCATGACTAAGAACTGACTTCTCAGTTTCCATTTCCATAATGTTCTTGTGTTTCATATAATACAATTTACCTCCAAGGACAAAAAGAGTCATTTTCTTAAAAAGTATATATTTTAATTGTGTTCCTCTCCTTTAGAAGAGCTCCTATTTAAGGTCTCTGGAATCAGCTTAGAACTCCTGAATGTCTTCAAGGCTTTCCAACATGTCTTTTACCTTGGCATTTATCTATATTGCTTTCCAATTCCCTCTTCCAACCCTAGCCTTTGTTTTTATCTGGAAAGGAAAGTTTACACTTTGAAAAATGTACCCTTCTCTCTGCATCAGAAGATTCACAGTCTCTGTGAATTCTTTCTTGTTAATTCTCCCTTGTCTTTGTGCTGATCCCTCAGTATCCATGTTCTTAGAACTCTCCAAAGTTTGAAACTCATTCTCTGTGCTTTACAGATCTGTTAATGTTTAATTACATATATTCATTATCCTATTTCTCCTTCTGACTCACCTCCTCAACTAACTTCCCCCTCAAGGAAGGCATCCAGTGTTCTTAGAACATTCAATAGCTAAAGACAACGACCCAACAGGTAAAGGTGATGTGTATGATCAATGCAGATGAGATAAGCCAATTAGAATGGTGAACTGGAAAAAGGCACTGATAAAGTAGGTAAGGATAGAAGAGAGACAGTGCACATCATTGAGACCGTCAGGAGATGTGCCTATGAGTGGGTGAGCAGTGGATCTTCCCCTGACAAGCGTACTAAACTCTTCCACATGCAAGGTGATATACATGTGCCTTGGACTAGGACACAATGACCAGCTCTGTAAAGGGAAGCAGGGGACACGAGTCCGATTTGTAACTTCCTTCATCAGATTCACAAGCACATGGCAGGGTTCCTGTGCCCAGTTAAGTGAATATATTCCTATTATATGTTCACCAGCTCAGAAACAGATGATGACCCAGACCAGACTGCCTTGATGACTCTGCTTGGATTCATTGACGTGAGATGAAGAACGATCCTCATTCTTTGAAGTTTAATTCTATTTGTGAAATAGACATTTTCATAATTTCACTCACTGTCTAGCTAATCTCATCCAGTTCAATAGCTTTGAAGACTTCTCTGACTTTGAGACTCATTCACCTGGTCTATGTCTTCATTTGGATGTGTCTCTTGGGCATCTCAGACTTAATATTCCAAAAACCAAACTCTTGACTTTCACTCAAGACGGCACCACCCTATTTCAGTAAATGCCAATTCCATTCTTACAAAAACCGTGACTTTGACCTGTCTCTCACATATCACATCTGATCTATACAGCAATTTTTACCAACTCTACCTTCAAAGTATATCCAGAATACAACTGCTCCCCATCACCTCTGCAGATACCGTCTTGGCCTAAGCCAACATCATCTTTCACCAGGAGTATCACAATAGCCTCTTAACCATTTCCTGGCTTCCACCATCACCCCCTACAGTCTACTAAGCTAGCATGATCATTTAAAAAGGAAGTCCGATTGTGTTACACCTCTGTGTAAACCCTAGACTGACTTCTCATCTCATTCCAAATAAAATCCAAAGTTCTACACATGGAATTCAAGGCTCAACACTGTTTTTGTTCTAGATCTCTTTGAACTTCTAACACACTATGCCCTTGTTTGTTCAGCTCCCGCAACAGGGAATTTCTTCCTGTTCCGAAAATATGCCAATCACTTTAATTAGCATTTCATCCCACAGTCACTCTCTGGTCACCTACCCTGCCTTATTTTTCTATACAGCACCTATTATTACCTGACATATTTATTTTTTGTCTTGTCCCAGTAAATGCAAACACCATGAGAGCAGGGGTGTTATCTGTCTTGTTTATTGTTTTACCCCAGCAGCTGGAACGGTGCCCTTGTATGCAACAACACTAATTTCTAAGCATGAAATTCAAAGAATAGTTCACTTTATCAAAAACAAAAAACCCATTATAGTTGCTCAGACACACAAACTTAAAAGAACAAAAATACTTTTAGAATGAAGCCAGGTTGCACAGCATGGATCAGGAATTTCAACTGTAGGAAATTAAGACGACAATGTCGAAACATACAGGCCTTCCAGCTGCCTCAGAATCACAAGTACATGGCTGGGTTTAAGTGCCCAATTAAGTCATATTCCCCTTAAATGCTCACCAGCTCATAAACAGATAGTGACCCAAACCAGACTGCTTTGATCACTCTGCTTGGAAGAAAGGAATAAACATCACCGATTGGAGAACTTCAAGGCATCTGCTGAGGCAGGTGACACACAGGCATATCTGGGCAGGCCAGTTTCTCTGGTCTTACCTCCATGGGAGAAAATAATTAGCAGGAAGAACTTCCTACCTTGAGAAAACCTCTCATTGGCCAATCCGTTCCACTGCAGCAAGGCTTTTGCTCTAGTTTTGGAGGGACATGCTCTGAAGAGTCATTCATGGAATAAGGAGTTGCTCTGTGACGACATATCTGTATAGTGAAAGAATCTGCTGGGAGAAAGTGATGCTTAAATCCAAGTCAATTAATTTATGAGGGGAGGGGCTAACCCCTTTGACGTTAGCACCGAGGTCATGACCTTGGGCCTGAAGGAATAGCCCAGCTGATCCACTGGTGCACAGAGGGCATTTGGGGGAGGAACAGACTCCAGCCTGTGCTGGATCAGGTGTGTGATGATGGAGATCATCATTCAGTAGAGGGCGCTGGGAGAACTGACTACCTGAAAAAATAAAGCTACCTGACCCCACCTCATGCTGGTCAGCAACATTAATTCCATGAGATTATAGATCCAAATGTGAAACACTAACTACTAAAGCATTGGAAGCAAATGTGAAGACCTTTTTTGTTATCTTGAGGAGGAAAAAGTCTCTGGAACAAGACACAAAATCCAGAAGCTGGAAGATAAGGTTTCATGTTCAACAGCAGGATACATTATGGTGAGGTGGTATTTGATTCACAGGTATCTCCATATGTTTAAACTAATCAAATTCTACACTTTTTTTTTTTTTTGAGACAGAGTCTTACTCTGTTGCCCTGGCTAGAGTGAGTGCCATGGGCACTGTGTCAGCCTAGCTCACAGCAACCTCAAACTCCTGGGCTCAAGTGATCCTACTGCCCCAGCCTCCCGAGTAGCTGGGACTACAGGCATGTGCCACCATGCCCAGCTAATTTTTTCTGTATATTTTTAGTTGGCCGATTAATTTCTTCCTAATTTTAGTAGAGGCGGAGTCT